ATAGGGTTAGAGTTCTATCATGAGTTTATCATGATTAGGAGTTTGGGTTCTATCATGATTAGGAGTTTGAGTTCTATCATGATTAGGAGTTTGAGTTTTATCATGATTAGGAGTTTGAATCCTATTCTAATTAGGAAGTTAGGCTAGAGATAGGGTTTTGGTTTCCCTATATATATATTTCTATTGGTGGAGGAAAAACCATGAAGAAAAAGTAGAGATGTAGTAGATGAGAGAGAGAGTGTGTGTTTCTTAGTCTTTATCCGTGCAAAAGATTACAAGGAGTGGGCTTTGGAGAGAATATGAGAGTTGATTATGTATGTGAGGTTGAGAGATTGAGAGACGAGAGTTGAGTTGTTCCTCTTGTAGTTCTCCCTGATACATAGTGAATTTCTCGTATTGTTGCCCCGTGGACGTAGGTCGAAGTTGGTCGATCGAACCACGTAAATCTCGGTGTTCTTTTTCTTGATTGTGGTTGTTCTATCTTATTAATTGGGGTTGGCTTCCGAGTTGTGCATATCGTGGTAGGTGGGGAGACTGAAATTTCCCAACAAGTGGTATCAGAGTGATGGTGATGGATCTGGGAGCGAGTTTGCAAGATAGAAGACGACGCCGTGCAAGATTTAAAATCGGCGTTATAAGAATCAAGATGGAAAAAAAGGGCAAGGTTACTGTAGCAGAACACTATAGCGCGGCGGGCACTGTTCACATGGGGATCCGACGGTCCAGATTGATTTGTTAGCCGATTGAGGATTTGGAAGCGAATTTTGGTGATCCAGGAGTCGTTCCTAGGGTTTTTCGACGTGTTGAATTCGTTTTTAGCACCAGTTTCATCAAATTCAAACTCTACGGTGACTGATTTGAATTTTGGTTAGAGAATGATGACTTCTTCGGATCCGAAGTTTGATATTCCGCTATTTAACGACAAGATAAATCTGATGGTAGATAAGGAGCAGGAGTTGGTTGGTGTGTATACTTGAGGAAGACAGTGTCAGATTAGGTGGAGCTTGCAAGCGAGCACGACCGAGTGACACACATGGAGATGAAGATGGTGGGGTTGGACTTGAAGATGGTGAGCGCTCATATTCAGTCCAAGCCAAGTGATGGAGGAGATAAAAGCATCCAGCTCGTAGTGTGGAGTAGGAGAGGTGCACCGATATGATTCGAGACGAGCGATGCAGGTGGAGCACAAGGACAACAAGAGAGGTGGAGGCGTCACGACAAAGCAGAAGATAGTGATGATCATGAAGGAATCCAATTAGGAGTGCAGGTGTTCTGATTTGAAGTGCGAAAGAAATAAAAGACTCTAGCAGGAGAGACAAAGTTTCAAGACGACGATGATATATCTTCAAGGGAGTTTGGGAATCAAATCCAAGGTGGAGATTATTAGGATTTTGTCTTTGATTCTTTGTGTAACTTCATGAGAATTAGATAGAGTTAGAGTTCTATCATGATTAGGAGTTTGGGTTCTATCATGATTAGGAGTTTGAGTTCTATCATGATTAGAAGTTTGAGTTTTATCATGATTAGGAATTTGAATCCTATTCTAATTAGGAAGTTAGGCTAGAGATATGGTTTTGATTTCCCTATATATATTCTTCTATTGGTGGAGGAAAAACCATAAAGAAAACGTAGAGATGTAGTAGATGAGAGAGAGAGAGAGAGAGTTTCGTAGTCTTTATCCGCGCAAAAGATTACAATGAGTGGGTTTTGGAGAGAATACGAGAGTTGATTATGTATGTGAGGTTGAGAGATTGAGAGACGAGAGTTGAGTGGTTCCTCTTATAGTTCTCCCTGATACATAGTGAATTTCTCGTATTGTTGTCCCATGGACGTAGGTCAAAGTTGGTCGACCGAACCACGTAAATCTCGGTGTTCTTTTTCTTGATTGTGGTTGTTCTATCTTATTGATTGGGGTTAGCTTCCGAGTTACACATATCGTGGTAGGCGGGGAGACTAAAATTCCCCAACACTACAGTGTTATCAGAGCCATGAATAATCTAAATGGGACGACATCGCCTTCTATTCCTATATTAGATGATAAGAAATTATCACCGATAAAGAGTACAGATGAAGGTGTTGTTTGAATATCAAGATATATTGGGTGTCGTAGAGAACAGAGTTGCTGATCTCGCAGATAGCGCAAGTGAAGCCGAGAAGAAAGCCCACAGTGAGATCAAGAAGAAGGATCGAAAGGTGTTATTCTACATCCATTAAGGAGTGAATGATTCAGTTTTTGAGAAGATCGACAGAGCAACTACAGCAAAGCAAACATGGGATATTTGAAGAAGAAGTTTTCGTGAAGCAACTACCTTGATTTGTGAAGAAAGGATGCGGGCATAAAGTATATAAGTTAAAAAAAAACCCTTGTGTGGGCTAAAGTAGGCGTCACGAGCATGGAACAAAAGAATTGATTCTTTCTTTCAAGATTCTTTCTTTCAAGAAAGTAAATTTTAGAAGTGTCCCTCCGAGCATGTCTTATATGTGAAGATAAACAACTCTGGTGATAAATTCCATTATATCTTTATGTTGATGACTTGATTTTTATGGGCAATAATATTAGTATGATTGAAGATTTTAAGAAGTCAATGATGCATGAATTTGAGATGACAGATCTTGGCTTGATGTCTTATTTTCTCGGCATTGAAGTAGTTAAAGGAGAGATGAGAGAGAGATAGAGAGAGGTCCTGCAATGAAGTTCCGAAAAAAAAATACAAACAGTGGACCCCTCTACTATTCACCTCTCTCTATCTCTCTCCTGTCTTATAGAGTGCCCTTGGGCACTCTATAGAAAAACCCATATTATTATGAGAAGAAGAAACTAATAATAATGGAGGACATAGATTACATGAATCAATGTGTAGTCACTTTTTTGAGGCTGTGAAATTCCCAATAATGATAGTGAAAAAGGAAATGAAAAATGAGCACCGTGTCGACCACGCCGTTTACTAATTAAGCCAAGCTAAGCTTCGATGCTTTGTAATTGTAATAAATGAAAGGGTGGTTCTTTTCCCCACTTTTTTTAAAAAAAATCTTGGATTTCTTCACCACCCGCACGAAGTACCATTGACCCTCCGAGGCACGCTGCGTAGGTCTCGCCTTTTGTCATTCTCGGGCTCAGAAGTCTACATTTTACATTTTTAGAAAATTTAACTTTCATACAAGCCCCAAAGGTAGTAGAAGGAGGAAGGTCTAGTTGTGGCTTATACTTTTTCTTGGTAACCCAGGCTGGAATTAAATACAAGACAGTGGAAGTCATATTAGAACGTTCCAACCGTTCGGACCACATACGGTTGTGTTGTACCTTACATACTTAAAGTGTAATGCTAATGATATTATAGTTTTGCTATTACTGTGTGCTATTATTGCACTTTTGGATGATTTGCTAGGTTTTCAGCGCGTTAGAAAGAGGGTCCAAATTATTCAGCATTAGTTTCTTCTTTTTCATTAGAACTTGTCTCAGTTTTTTTTAGTCGGGGGTATTGGGGTAAGGCTGCAACGTCCCATCCGTGTATCTCTTTGTTTAATGAGGTTATTTCCGTCTTAATATAAATGATATTTTTCCAAGTTTGACAAGGGTCCTGCAATGAAGTTCCGGTAAAACAAAAGTACGTATAATTATTAGACGGCAACATGACCATTTGATTCATTACTATATAAGACAGATAGAAGGGTCGCATTTTTCGACACTCACTCGGGTACGGTAAATGAATTGAATCATAAAAATGGATCTTAATTCTCCCAATTATTCAATATTGTGATCTATTCTAAATTTAACATTTAGTATATTCTCGTGTTTTACCTCGTTCTTATTTTTCTCTCGTTCTCATCTCACTACTTTTTTTTTATAGTTAAGAGAATGCAACCAAGAAATATCGAAATAAAGGATAAATTGCAGATAACACCCCATCGCGAACCCCTCGTCGTCTACACCTTTGGTTGCAGTCAATAAACCCGTACTCATCTACGTACTCCCACTCAGAACTCCTGGATTATCACTTTTCTGCTGGAAAGATTAATTCAAATAACATTTCTACTCCTCGTGAGTTGAGGGGACCTAAGTGTTAATGAATAAGCTGAGGATAGTTTAGTGCAACTGAAGATACATACATACGAGGAGGTCTATCTGCAATTTACCCTAATAAATCATACAACTTTAACCGATATTTGATCGCACGGTTGTATCACGCAGCCGCTGTTGCTAAAAGGAGAAACAAGAAATTTCAGATTAGAGCTTCCATTAATTATTAGCTTGAAAACTGTACACTTTCAATCAAAAATTAAATTTCAAAATCATAAACTTTCATCATTAATTTGTCATCCCTTACCTTGAGATATTTTTATGCACGTCACGCTTTAGAGTCAACGTAATCTTCGGACCACTCGAGCCTCATTTCCTTCCTGTGACGCTAATCTAAACTGACGTCCAACTATGTATCTTTCGCATAGGTAACAAGTTCCTTTCAAATTTCCCTCCTATCGACTTCAATCAACAATCAATCAAATCTCCCAAACATGTATGGATCTACGTGCATGCTACGTACCAGATTTATTAATAACCACAAAAACATATATATGTTACGTAGGTGCGCCCATCATCAAAAAATCACATTATTATCGTACATATTCATCCAATATCATCAACATTAACAAACAAACAAAACATATATATGTGAATACTGCGCACTTGCTGCTGCTACTAACACTTGTACTCAGCTCTTGCAAAATCTAGTTTAATTAACATGTTGTACTTAAATTTTTCTACCGTGTGCTGTAACAGAGAAGTTGAGCTACATGGATCGTGTTTCCTTAAATCCTGTGGTGGTGCTGAGTGCGCGCATCCCCTCCCCCGCCACCCGAAACCGCCTCTGCCTGCCCGTGCGGGCGACGTTACGATCGACACGAGGCCGATCTCGAAAAGCGGGGGCTCGCATGGCTTCGCCTGTACGCCATCTCGTCGTACGCCAGGCCGGTGGAAACTCAAGTACATCAGAAACGTCTCTCTACTCGCCTTGCTGCCCGCCCGGCTGCTTAGCGGCCCTGCCGTCTCTTTTCTTCGTTGAACCGGTGAGAAGAAGCATTGAGGGGATTGGAGGAAGCGACGGCCTAGCGTCCCGCCTGCTTGGCGCGGCTGTGCCCTGCAGCTTCTGGTGGGGGCCGGGGTCGACCGAAGCGCTCGGCGAGGCGAAGGAGTAGGAGCGTGCTGTTGAGGGGGGAGACGCCGAGGAGCGAAGGGCTTCCGCCTGCGGGCCGTTCGTGGGAGTCACTGAGCTTAGGTACCAGGGTTTCAGCGAGTCGAGGCGGAGACCGTGAAGGCGAACACGTGACGACGTGGAGCGGCCCCCGCCGTTGGATTTTATGGAGTTAAAAAGGGCCGTTAAAAAGACGTTCGAGTCGCAACGACGTGGTCCTGTTCGGGTAAGCGAAGGAGAACGCAGCGTCGTCCTCTAAAGAGTCATCGTAGTCGAGAGACGAGACCAGCGACGTGATTGCCCAGAGGTCCACAAACGGCCGAGCTCCCTGTACGCATGGAACCCACAAATTTAATTTGTTCCTGCAATTTTTTTTAATTCTCGAGGGGAGGGGGGGTTTCTGTTGGGGAACTGGCGCTTAATTACCTTCCAGAGACAGGAGAACATGGAGGGAGCATCGATGACGAAGGCCCTATGAAGCCTAGCGGGGTAGAACTCCGTGATGACCTTGAGAGTTCCCATGTAAAGGTTCAAAAAGGCAGGGGCTGATCTGAAAAAGCCTGCAAATTTTCCAGTTTGAAAAACGCACGCGGATTAGTTTAGTTTAGTCGGTAGTACAAATCAGAGTTGGGGGGCTTTTGATTCAAACGGTGCATGATGATGAGGAGAGGATTTGGGACCACCACAGAATCAGGTGAAGTATTAAATTACGAAAAAAGAAGGAAAAAAAAAGGAAAGGAAAAAAGAAAACCCCAGGGGATTACAGGATCCACTAATAAAGGAGGGGTTTGGTCTGGCTCGTTTGACTCTGTGAGTGGAATTTTGGGCACATGCTCCTGACACTTATCCAGTGTTAGCTAGCCTTCGTATTTTTTTTTTCAAATTAACCCTCGCTTAATCCATTTTTCTTTTTAAATTCACAGCTTTAATAACGTACAAAAGGTTTATAGTTGCTCGAATCTTACTCGCATCGAAGAGGAGAACAAACTGGTCGACAAAGCGAGACATGGACGAGACGGCCACTTCCAGCGTGAACACAAGCAAACGCAAATACCTAAATCACGGAGGGCTTATTTGTAAAAAAACAGCAGCAAAAGAAAAGGCAGGAGAAAAAGCGGAGAATGATAGGAGAGAGGCTCACGATTTCTGCGTGTGAAATTTGAAATAATCCTGCTTTATGCGAAAAACCTGAAAAAATATATTTAAAAAATTAATTAGCAAAAAAAAGAAAAGAAAAAAATCAATACACACGAACTGTTTCGTTCGTGATTATTACCATAACAGGCCGGGCCTCGTCGTCATGACCTGCCACGTAAGCAACCCCCTCGGCGAGCTCCGACGAGAACTCGTCCGCTATTAAATGATCTAAAACATTCAAATCATTAAAAAAAATCATTAAAAAGAAGGAAAAAGAGGAGATTCCTAACTCCCCAGCTCATCTGTAGGTACTTCTAAAAAAAGCAAAAGAAACAAAAATAGAAGTAAAAAGAAAAAAAAGAAGCAAAGCCAATAAAAACAAAGACAAAATAAAAAAGAGAAATGGATTATTTTTCTCGAGTACCAGTTCCGATGCTCTCTCTCCAAGAAAGAACAGTCCTCAGATGCTTCGCAGCCTTCTTCACATTATCGCCTTTCCCTTTCAAGAATCTCTCAACGCAAGCATCGTTACAGTACTTTTCCTAAAATTTCGCTAACATAATAAATTCAGCCAAAAAGTTTAACAAAAAAAAGATTGAATAAATCAATAAGGGATCAAATTGAGGGGAAGTCGAAATCGAGACCTGTTTCACTGTGAGAGGAGCTTGTTTCTTCAGGATATTGAGCACGGCGTCGATCCGATCGTGATCTCTCTTCTCTTTCTTCTCGATTCCCATTTTTTTTCAATTGCAGAAACCCTAAACCCTAATTTCAAGCTAGCATTAGAGAGAGGAAATTTGGCAGAGGCTGAAACTTGCTGTGGAATAAAAAGGAATGAGGGAGTGAGAAAAAAGAGCCGAGATGGTATTTATAGCGGGGGGAGGGCACTGACGGAGGCCGTTATGTGACAGCGAGAAATGTACAGTGGATTTGACGGCAGAACGGAGTTACGTTAACGGAAGACGTATGCCCGTTTACTATGTTTTTTATTTTTTTTTTCTTTTCTCTTTTTTCTTTTAACCATAATTTCTTTTCTTTTCTTTTCTTTTTCTTTTTCTTTTTAGTTTTTTTTATTTTTTGTTGGCTGTGTGTTTTAGTGTGTTTATTCCCTCAGCTTCTTTTTGATGACCTCAACGGTTGGCGTTTGATGGGACCCGTCTGTTTCCCGTCGGGCTAACTTTTGCCCTTTTTTGGGTGAGATTTTATTTGCAATTAAACCCCTGTAATTTTGCATTTGAGTACTTATGGGTTTTAGAAAAATTAAAAATTGTTGATATTTTTATCATTAGAGGGTGTTTGGTTCAGTTTCTACAAATTATAGGAAATTTTTTCCACCCAAAATATGATTTCCTTGTATTTCTTAAAAAATTTATAGGAAAAGTTTTTAGAAGTCAAAAAGTACCAATTTTCTTGTTTTTTGTATTTTGCTTGTTTGGTTAAAAACAAAAAAATGACCCATAACTTTATAGAAAATAGCAAAATTTTCTATAATTTATAGAAATTAAACCAAACACACCCTAAATTTATAGAAAAATATTAGCTTTATAGAAAAGTGTCAATGGTGTGTCAGATTTCTGGGTGATTTTCGTCCATTTTGAGAGAAATTTGATTTCTGTAAATTTTGGTACTTTTCTGTACTTTACAGATAATATTTTGGTAAATTTTTTTGAGCCAAACATAGTTCACGGAAATCTACAAAAAAAATTGTAATTACAAAAATGTTATTGTCAATCATTTTGAGAAAACTTTTCTATAAAATTGTTGAACCAAACACCCCCTTATTTTTTTCCACAATGGTACTATAGATGCACAAAAGCACAAAAGGTGTACCCACAATTGTCATTATGATGGTAATTTCATTGATCTTTTTTGAAACAAGAGCTTTAGTTTTTACTCCTTAGGGCTGTTTGGTTGGCATTTTTTGCCCTTGTTCCCCTGTCAAAGCTGTCAAAATGGTCGTTTTTACAAGTAAAGCTGTCAAAACTGGCAGCTTTTGTCAGTTTTAACAGGGAAACCTAAACAAAAAAAACCAATCAAACACCCCCTAAGGGGCTGTTTGGTTGTTGGTGGTAAAATTGTGTATTTATGACACAACTTGAAAAGTTGTTGTTCACCTAATTAATTTCACTTTTATACTTTTCTTTGTTTGTTTTTTATTCCATTGGAATCATAAATTGCTTGTTTGGTTTGCAAATGTAACTTTAATTGTTTGTTTGGAAAGTATAAAAAGTGGTCCCTACTCAAATGATCATATTGGTTAGAATTATTTTTTATTATTTTTTTCTGACTTCAATATCAGCTTTCTCCTAAAATCATGTCTTTTTTTATGAAATCACTTTACAAGCCACATCAGCATATGAAATCATTTTACACTATTTTCACAACTACAAACAAACAATTGAAAGTGATGAAAGCTGACATTGGGACCCACTTTTTTACATTTTCCATCCTTTTACATGGTAAAAACATACAACCAAACAACCCCTAAGCGTAATGGGCGTGCATTAATTATTACTAGACAAGTGAACTTGCACAATAACTCGGCCTTAATAATTCGTCATTTGGCATTGGGATTATGGTATCACTAGTTTCCAATTCAATATCAGAATATGTCCTTTATTCCAAAAAGTTATTAGTGTTACAATTGGACAACATATAGCTAATTACTTGTGGAATCATCTCAGACCATTCCAAGTTAATTAGATTAGTTATAACTGCTGTCAGATAAATTGTTCCAGTCCATTTAATTTATACATTTTAATCTAAGTCATACCTCACTAAAGCAGCTTTTCTCCCTCAAACTATTACAAAACTCATCTCCCCTCTTTATGCATCAAACCTAATAGAAGATTAGGAGCTGTTTGGTTCGTTTTTTAACTCGGTGGAAAAGTTTTACACTGTCTCCACATCAGATTTTTCGTGGCCATGCATGTAGGATATAAGATTTCCGTCGGTTTTTTCCCATCTTTGGTTCGCTATGATAGATCTAAACCAAAACTTGAGATCTAAAACCATATAGCCATGATTAATTCAAAGAGATTAACAAGATTTAATCTCAAGAATCATGAGAGTATGAGCGGAAGCTCCTTGTTTTATACCTGTGATGAGCCATTGGGGAGTGAACACCTTCGCAGATGGTTTTGGCATTTTCTTCTAACCCATTTAGGGTATTCCTCTTAATGCATGAATTTCTCTGCTAGTATGGGGTGTTAGAGAAATTAGGAATGTACCTAGGTAGGGCAATAACCCTTATTTATAGATGTTGTACTTTGTATATTTACCCCTCAATAAATCACAATTACAACCTGTATCTGCAATATAACCCCAATGACTTTAATTTAATACCCGAAATTAAGCCCAACTTAATTGATCACTTTAGTGGTTATTTCCTGAAAGGATAGCAATACTCATTGATTAATCATATGTGCCCACAAATAGATTTATTAGATTATTAAATCCAATCAATCTCCCATTGGGCACCCTATTGATTCCTTAAAAATTGTGTATAACACTTGATGAGCTCAAATTGCTACGTCACTTGAAAGGTATTTCTTAAAACATCACGTCCAGTTGACGTATTATCAAATAATAGCGATGGCAACAAGCAAGGCCTTGCGTCACAGTGTTATCGTGGAGCAGTCAGAAGGCCACATGAGAAATTTCAATTGGAGTGAAATTATACTCATACAATGACAAAGAACGACGATGATTCAAATCAATGGATGCGTACAGCATATGAAAATTACATAGCAATGTGATCCAATTAGTTATCGAATAGTCTATTTTCAAACTGGTCCCATTTCCTTAGTGAGAGTTCAAAATCCAAACATAATGTTAACAGCTCTTCTCTTTTAGTGTCTTTTACTGAATACTTTTCTGATTCATGACAATATTCAAACATAATCTTTTT